AATGAAAAATAATTGGGAGGATTTTTGTGACAATTCTGAGTCTTGGAAGGGTGATACACCATAATTTCTCTGGTAAATTTGTTCACCCCTTCAAAGGACTTCAGCTGTGGGCAATCCAATAGCAAATAATATAAACCATACAACTTCAACTGTAATATTTGAGTTGTTAATCATATAATTAACAAGCTAATTAAAATGTTTTTCTGCTTTCATTATTGCCAAACTATTCCGCTTAAAATTATGAAATCAACAATACAAATTGTTATTTATTCGATCAAACCGCTTTAGAAGAACTAGCGCACACACTGAACATTCAAACAGAGAACAAGAATAGATGAGCAATAATTTCCATTAATGGATGACTGTGATGTGGTACTCCACAATTGCATTCTTAGTTCTAAGGTTTGCAACGAAGGTCTTCGCTATGGCATGGCCTCTGGCCAAGCGAAAAGCCCCTGATCCTTGAAAGGACTTTGTGATAGAGCACGGTGTATTACAATGTTCAATTACAATCTAACCACTTTTGAAATAAAAAAATTTAGGCTTTATTGCTTTATGGGAAGAGAAGATCAAAACATAAACAAAAATTTAAAAAGGTAAAATTATCGAAGATTACCTCAATCGAGTTTAGTATACCTCACGTTGAGTCTCCTCTGGTACCGGGCTTAGTACACCGGACGCCGAGTCTCCTCTTTTCTATGGTGCTTGGGATCTATATATGGTCTGTTGATTTCCCTACTATTCCACCCAAAACAACTTGAAGAATCCAAGCATTCAGATGGTGCTCGGGATTTATGTTCGGTGTGTTGATTTCCCTACTATGCCACCCAAAACAACTTGGAGAGAGATAAAAACTAGAGAGAGAGATAAAAATTGCCGAGTCTCCTCCTTCCAATGGTGCTCGGGATTTATGTTCGGCCTGTTGATTTCCATCAAAACAACTTGGAGAGAGATAAAAATTGGGGCCTACTGCTTGAAGAGAGAGATAGAAATTGGGGCGTACCTCCCCTTTGGGAATCTAGAGATCCTTTTGGGAATCTAGAGAGAGCTAAATTTGAGGTAGGGAGAGAGAATTCTTAAAGAAAGAGAGGAGAGAATACAAATAGAATTTTATGAGGTAGAATACTTCTTTTTATAGATTTTCTATGCCATAGATTTTACTTCAATTCGTAGGGTTAAATCTCAAATGTCAATCTAGGGAGATTTGGGGTGAGATATTTGAGCCATATATCTCCTTGATGCACCATAGATGTGATAGGGCATTACCTTCCCTTTGCTACATCTATTTCCATTGTTTCTATTATTAGATCAACCAAATTTGATTCAAAGATTTAGTAAATATCTCAAATACTCAACCACTGTACCTAAAAAGATAAGCTAACCAACAAGATAATAAACATTCTCCCAAGGAATATCAGTGGGTGGGGCATGCCACCCCTTTTGGTGGCCATGTGTGGGCAACCCAATCCTCATGTTGTTAAATTTTGGGCCCACATTTTATGGTGGTCCCATATATTTTTAAAAAATATTTTATTTTTATATTTAGAATTTTTAAATCTTATATTTTATTTAAAACATTGAAATTTATAAATCCAATTGAGAAAATAAAATATCAATAGATTCACAAAAATTCAAATAAACATTATAAAAATCACACAACATAAAATTAATTAATTTTGATGGGAATAAAATCTGTTAGATATTAAGAAATTATCAATATATGGGAGCACTCCACTTTGAATTGCGAATCATGATCCGCCTAGCTTTCTCAAACTGACCTAGCAGTTCCCATGACCCACTTTCTCAAACTGATCTAGTAGTTCCCATATCCCACAGTCTATTACAGGGCCTCATGATTGGACAACCAAAGTCACCCAATAAACTAGCAATATCAGTTTATGAATTTCAGGTTCTCCCCTAGAGACAAAAAATCATGGTCCTCCAAACCATGATGCAACCAAGACTCTATGGTGCATAGGGATAATATCTCGCACATGTATACATTTTACCCTCAAATACGAATCTTGAAACGACTCTTAAAATGACCCTCTATGTATATACCCTGTGATGATATAATGATCCGGTTTTAGCCTTGTCTTTAAATGTTATTCATCACATATAAGGGCCACACGGTCCCTTGGCTCTCATCCAGGCATACACCGACCGCATCAAGGGTTAACTGTTTAAACCCTTCTAAGTTAGATCCTTATGCCTAGGTATCTTGGGTTTTTCCAAACCTCAGCTGGCCTAGCCCGTCAAGCCTAATTCGAGTATTCTTCAAATAAAATTTGCCTAGTATGGTCCATAAAATGACCACATTCCCATTAAATTTATGTTTCATTTATTTAAAATATTTTTTAGGCCTTTAAAGGCCGTATAAACCCAACAATCCGTCCACCATAGTCATCTCCCTCTCTTTATGCATTACCGGGTTCCTCCCATCATAGTGAGTGTGCTTCCATTGAACTTTCCCTCCGGGAACACAAAGTTGATTGCCATGACGAAGCTAAATTCACTCTGGGATGCAGACGCAAAGAATCCATGCGCCCTTCCTATAAGTTTCGACGTTGGTTTAGGGCCCTTAGGTAGGGCATCGTCTACATTGACTAGGTCGGAGGCGGAGGGCGAGGTCAGGGTGGTGTTGGCTTGGGCCACAGTTATTGAGGTTGGGTTCTTAGCAGTGACAACATCATGGAAGTAGAAGTGGAGGTGACTCACCTTCTCCTTTTGAAGGCCTAGTCTCCTTTCCATCACTCTGGGTTGGAAGAAGCCAAGTGAGAGAAGAAAAGCACCAATAAGAACATGGCCATGGCAAGTGAGTGGCCCCTCATCTTGGAGTTGAATTGGAAAATACCCTTAGCATGAGTTTGACAGAGAAACTCTGATACATGCTTAATTTGTGCGAGTGATCTTTCTTTCAAAATTGTTGGACTGCAAATTTTCTTGGAGTCAATGGTAATTTATTATTAGCTTGATGAAATTTTTATCTATTTCCATCACTAAGCTCCTGAGCGTGCCCATACCTAGAGATAGATACAGCCCCTGAGCTCGAACGAGTGAGAGTGTTGGGGCGGCAATGGGCTGGGCCGGCCAAGTTATCCAGGCCCTATTAACGACCTGGGCCGCAAAATATGGCTCGAGGGTTAGGTTTGGGTCAGGATAACACAGGCCCAGGCTGGCCTTTAATTTTTTCATCTTTTTTTACTTTCTTTTCCTTTAATTTTCCCCAGCCGACACAGCCTTGATAGGGTAGGGCTGGGCGTGATCCGACCCTTAGTGAACTAGGCCAGGGCAGGCCTGGCTCATTGCCAGCTCTAAGTGTGAGAGAAGCGCCCCTTTGTAATCAACATGTGGATATAAGCCTCATATATCCATCATTGACCTTACGAAGGTGTTAAGAAACAGGCCAATATTATTTATTTATTCATTTATTTTTGTCAACTAGGTGGCTTGATTGCTACGATGCCATGGCGTCACCGTAAGATTCGAGCCCCACCAGACCCTAGAAAACCAAGAAATTATTTTAGAAAATAATATACATATGTTAATACGCAGCTAACAATGAAAACAAGTCAGGAAAATTTAGTAAACTAAAATATAAAATAAAGTATAGCAACTAAGTCAACCTGCAAACTATTGTGCCAAAAGGCCGCCAACTCGTTCTTTCTCAAAATAGACGGTGGAGATGAAGAGTAAGTCGGTAGAGAAGACAAGGCAGACGTCCTATTTGTGATATCATAACACACACAAAGGTACCGATATAAGATAGAAATCGAATATGCGAAATGTGGTGCACAATTTGATTAAATTTTAATTACATATAATTTCGTATATATTGCCTCATATTGTATATAATTATGGGAAGTGATTTTATGCAATGGTTGTATAGTAATATAATAAAATAATATTAAAAATCTATGTTAGAGCCATTTGTTTGCCCCAAAATTTTAAAGATACACTCTTTTCATTTAAATATACAATTAAAAAGAAAAATTTCAAAACACAACCTAGAAAGCGTTTTTTAGGCCTATTATTTTGGTTAGATATTTAGATCTAGATTAACAACGTTAAAAAAGAAAAAAACGATTTTCATATCATAAAGGCCTAGATCTTGAAATTCTCCAAATGGACATGTTCATTGTTGGAGGAGACTTATTTTGACTATCTATAAAGTGCAAATTAAATTTTACTTTCCTGAAATTAATTATTGAGATGAAGAGAGTGTGTATACAAACTTTCTGGTCATAAAAATACCCAAACTTATTTTTTAGAACTGTGGTTTCAGTATATTATAATGACATGGTAACATGATATTATTTCCCTGTAATTATATGTACAAATTGTCTAGTACTATCTTTATATTTTACTACATGCAATTTTTTCTGTTTTTTTTTTTTTTAAAAAAAAAAAAAGGGTGTCATTTTCTGATGAGAATTGATTCAAGAAGAATATGTTCCTCTCCTCCCTCTCTTTTACTCTCTCCACCCCAGACTCAAAATGGTTCTATCTTCTTTCTCTCTCCCAAACTATCCAATCTTCCATTGCATGTTAGTACAAACCTCGCTCTAAGTCAATGACATGATTTAAAGAATCCGAGGAAAGTTTAAGAGATATGAACAGTGGAGGCTTGGAACCAGATCTAAGGGGATAAACTTATCGGAAAGCTTTACGCCGCTAGGTACAGGGAATTCATATATGCCATTTTCTCCACCTCCGATCTGAATGAATAGGTCCAATAGCTTCAACAACAATATCACATGTGAGCCCCTAAATAGGTAATCTAGATATTTTCAGTAATATTTACAATTATGATAGCTATGAATATTAAAATAATTTAGAATTAAAGATTTCAAATGATAAAAATCATATTAATTTTCAATGATGAATAAGGCTATGGATTTGATAGACAATTATAGTAGTTACAATAATTTCATGCTTAAGTAGTTAATTACACTAGTGGCATTTAATGCTCCACAATTAAAATGTTTTAATGCTCTCATAATTGCCAAACTATTCCGAAATCAATAATACAAACTGTTATTTAATAAATCAAACCGCTTTAGAAGCATTACAGCACACACTGAACATTCAAACAGAGAACAAGAACAGATGAATACTAATTTCCCTAGAAATGGATGACTGTGATATGGTACTCCACAATTGCATTCTTGGTTCTCAGGTCTGAGACAAAGGTCTTGGCTATAGCATAGCCTCTGGCCAAGCGAAAAGCCCCGGATCCGCCCACCACTGTCATCTCCCTCTCCTTATGCATTATCGGGTTCCTCCCTACCATAGTGAGTGTGCTGCCGTTGAACTTGCCCTCCATGAACACAAAGTTGATTGCCATGAAGAAGCTAATTTCACTCTGTGACGAAGACGCGAAGAATCCCTGCCCCCTTCCTATAAGTTTCGATGTGGGTTTAGGTCCCTTAGTGAGGGTATTGTCCACCACATTGACTAGGCCGAAGAAGGTGGGCGAGGTCAGGGTGGTGTTGGCGCCGGCCACAGCTATAGAGGTTGGGTTCTTACCAGTGATAACATCATGAAAGTAGAAGTGGAGGTGACTCACCTTCTCCTTTTGAAGGCCTAGTATCTCTCTCCATGACTCTGTGTTGGAAGTGGCCATGTGAGAGGAGAAAAGCAACAATACGGCCACCGCCATGGCAGTTGAGTGTCCCCTCATCTTGGAGTTGGAAAGGAAGAAGAACCCTAGCATGGGTTAGAAAGAGAAACTCTTTATACATGCTTCATTTGAGCAATTGATCAATTGCTTTTCAAATTAGATCGACTGCATAATTTCTTGGTATTCTGCTAGCTAGTTAATGATAATTTATTATTCTCTTGATGAAATTTTTATCTATTTTTAGTACTATACTCATGAACGTGCCCACACCTAGAATAGAAAGAGCCCCTCAGCTAAGAGGGGTGGCACTGGGCCAAGTTGCCGGCCCTCAGAAAACTAGGGTTCTCAGTTTACCAAAATTTAACGTAATAGTCACGAAACAGTAATAGTGAACAGACACTAAAATTCTCATTATACTGAGGCTCAAACTAAAATTTCAAAAATCATCAAAATTTTTAAAAATACTAATTTATTTAAAAAATCAAGTTGTTTAGGTTTCTAAAAAACAATACGGCTATTGCATTATGGATTTTTATTATTTTGTTGCAAATACATAAATACTGATTCAATGTAATAGTGTGACATGTTCAGGTTCTCAGTACTTATATATTTACAAAAAAATTAGTTTGTTTTTGTTTATTTTTATCCGACACAACCCCCCAATAGGGTAAGGCTGTACCTGGGCTAGGCGCTAGCCAGCCTGTTGCCAGCCCTAAGAGAGAGAGAGAGTGGTAGGCCGGGGCCCTAGCCGGCCTGTTGCCTGTCCAGAGAGAGAGAAAGAAACAGCCCTTTTGCAATCAACGTGCTTGGATATAAGCATGAGATTTCCGTCGTTGACCTTACAAATGTGTTAGGAAACATGACCATATTATTTATTTATTTATTGGTCAACATGTGGCTTGATTGCTAAGGTGTAACGACTGCCCCATAAGATTCGAGCCCCACGAGACCTAAGAAAACAAAGAGAAAAATACTTTAAAAAATAATATAGATAATATTAATATCGAGCTAACAATACAAAAAGAAATCAAATCGAGAGAAAAATTCAGAAAACTAACATAAAACTAAGCCATTTGCATACTATGGTTAACTCATTCTTTATTCTCAAAATGGACGGTGGAGATGAATAGTTGGTCGGTGGAGAAGACAAGGCAAATGCCTTATTTGTGGCATCATAACATACGTATTGACATGAGGTGGAATGAAATATGAGAAAAAGAGAATCATTATTTTTTGTAGATATGGTGCACAGTTTGATTACATTTTAATGACATATAATTACGTATATATTGTCATTGTTAAAAACAAAAAAATCGTATATATTGTCTCTTATTGTATATAATTATATCCACAAATTGTGTAATATTTGCTTTGCATTTTACTATAGCGTTAGTTTGATGACAACCACTACACAAAATGTATAAGAAAAAAAGTTTTAAGTCGATGAAAGAATTACTCGTGGTTGAAAGACTCCGAGGAAAGTGTTAATGATGGAAACAGTTGAGGCTTGGAACAAAATACAAGGGGACAAACCCAAGGGAAAGCTTATGCCACTAAGCATAGAGAACTCTTATTCCTACTTTTTGCTACTTTCTCCCAGCTATCTGATTTTAATGGATGGTTGGGATAGCTTCGGCCAGAACATTACAAGTGAGTCGTTAAATGTTTGATTTAGATCTGCTGTCTCAGGAAATATATTTTCATTTTTTTTACAAATTATATGAACACGGAATTGGTGTGTGTCATCATCTCAACGGGGCAGGTCAAAAGAATATTAAAATATTCAAAAAATAAAATGACTTGAATACCCCTAAAACTTTTAGGGGTACTTTGGTTATTTTAATTTGTGAGGAATTTTTTTTTTATATTTTTGGTATGTGCGAATTTGTAGGAGGATGAAGTGCCCCTGTTTTTGCCATGTCAGCCATCCCTTCAAATCAGATGGTTGGGAGAGGGGTGGCATCTATGAATTTCCGATTAAGAAGGTTTTTGCTAAACTTAAGACATGTCGTTCATGGTTGTTGATGCTTAACTTATAACAAATTGAAAATTGCAATGTTTAAAAATAAAACTTCTTAAATGAAGAAATAGATAACTCTGAGATGATGATGTTTTTATTTCCTGTTCTTTCTAGAGACAATACATTATATGAGTAACGAAAATAGAGTGTGTTCCTTTAAATCCACACTAGACTGAGAGTCGAGGGATTTCCCTGACAATTTATATACCAATGATAATTTTCTCAAGGGGGAGGATTTGGTGTTCCGAGGTTGAATACTATTGATGCTTCCCTCAGGGCCAGAACATAGAGTTAGGGGGAACTTTTTGGTCTATAATTTTGCAAAACATCTTTGATTCACCAGAAAAATATTATTTGAGTTCTCATTACTATGTATTTACTGGCGTGCCCATCAAATGGAAGTTCTACCTTCACTACTCATAGCAGATTCTGGTCAGAATATTTTGTGGTGAGATTTTTTTAATTTAAAAATTGAACATTGTGAAATGTGACTTTACAAATTTTAGGGTCCTAAAAACCCCCCTAATGCGTTTATTTAGCCTTTTCTTGAACCCAATCTTTCCGAACAGCAAATTGAGATATCTCAAATCTCAGTTTCACCACTCAAATAAAATGCCCAAGATACAATAACAAATGAAATATAATTGGGAAAAATATAAAAACAATAATGCAAGCAATATGGGAAATCTTCAAAGTGCAACACAAATAGTAATAGAGAGGGACACTCACATATACGTAGTTCACCCAAAATGGGCTACGTCCACGGGCAAGACGGCAAAGATGTATTCACTATCAAGACGAAAAATTACAAGGTTGGGGTTATGCAGAGTTACCTCATATAATATCAAGGAATGCTCAAATAAAGAACTTCCTATTATAAAACCACCTACAATTGATCCCTTTCTTTGATTCACTATAGCTGCGAAGAAATGCCGACAAAATAGTGGTGCTAGGGTTTCACAGTGAAAACCCCTAAAACTTTACTCTCTCTACACTCTTCGATTTTCCCCTTTTTGTTTATCTCTTCAACTCGTGCCCGCACACCTTTTTATCTCTTGCGCCCGCGCACCTTTTTCCTCTCTCGCGTCCGCGTGCCTCTTTCTCACTCCCATCTCATCCGAGCACCTCCATCTCTCTTTATAACCTCTTTTAAAGAGCCCCATTCAAAATGATGAGAAATGCCCTGGTTGATATGGAAAATACCACATGGGGGTGATTTAGAATCACGCCCTAACAATCTCTACCTTGATGCAAAATCACACCTTGCCTTGCCAATCCATCACTTCCTTTCTTTATTGAAACAGAGAGAGGTTAGATTCCATTCTAGCGCCTCTACGTGGCTGGGTTTCGTAAGCATATCCGCAAGGTTGTCTTCGGTCTTGATTTTGACCAATCGAACTCTTCTATCTTCAACAACTTGCAAGACGTAGTGATATTGAACCAATATGTTCCTTGACCTCCTGTGGTGAACCGGGTTCTTGGTGAAATGGATAGCACTCATATTGTCACAAAATAATTTCCTGGGCTTGCATATAATGCCCATCTCACCCATCAATCCTTGAAGCCACATGACTTCTTTTGATGCCTCCGTTGCTGCCATGTATTCGGCTTCGGTAGTTGACAATACTACCGTGTCTTGGAGCCTTGATATCCAACTTATCGGTCCATTTGCAAATCGAAAAACAAATGCGATAGTCAACCTACCTCTATCAAGATCACCAACAAAATTTGCATCCACAAAACCTTGCATTGGAATTGAAAATGTAATTGCATAACTAGTTGTACCTCTTAAGTACCAAAGCACCGATTTTGTTACTTCTCAATGAACCTTTCCAGGGTTTGCCATAAACCGACTTAAAACAACAACTGCATGCACGATATCTGATCTTGTACATATCATGACAAACATCAAACTTCCAATCGCATTTGCATAAGGAACCTTAGCCATGCTTCTTCTTTCATATTCAGACTTTGCATTGAAGACAATTTGAAGTGAGGCGCTAAGGGTGTCTTCATCGGCTTTGTGTCTTTCATGTCAAATTTTTCAAGCACCCTTTCTGTGTAACCCTTTTGAGATAATGACAAAATTTCATTTTGTCTATCCCTTTTAATTTCAATCCCAAGGATTTGCCTTGTTGGCCCGAGATCTTTCAGCTCAAATCTTTTGCTCAAAGAAGTATTGAGCTCATCACTTTTTGCCTTATCGTAACACACCAAAAGCATGTCATCCACATATAAGATTAAAATCAAGTATGTATCATTATCAAATAACTTTAAATAGATGCAATGGTCATACTTTCTTCTTGTGTACCCAAGGCTCATCATGAACATATCAAATGTTTTATACCATTGTCTTGATGCTTGCTTGAGCCCATACAAGGACTTCATCAATTTGTACACAAGTCCATCTTTGTCCTTATCTATGAAGCCCATTTTTTATCTTGATCACCCATTTGCAACCAACAGTCTTTCTACTTTTTGGTAGCTCTACAAAATCCCAAGTTTTGTTTCTTTGAAGGGCCAATATCTCTTCTTCTATAGTTCTTTTCCAATGCTCGGTACTATTGCTATCAATGGCTTCACTGAATGATTTTGGCTCTTCATTTTCAGCTATCAAGGCATGAAAAGTATTTGGATCCACATAATCTTTGTGCCACTTGGGTGTACGAGTTTCTCTAGTAGAACGCCTTTGTGCCAAAGGTACAACTTCATCATAATGTCCATATGGTTCTTCATCTTGACTTCCTAGTCCTTCATGGTCATCACCATGATCAATGGGTGTATTCTCATAAGGTATAATTGTACTTGGTGGAAGTATTTCGGGGTTGCCTTGAAATTCTTGGCTCTTTTGTTGCACTTCTTGACCATTATGATTTATTATCATCCCCTTTGCCAATACCTTGGATTCATCAAAATACACATCACGGCTAGTGATTATTTTTCGGGTACTTGGATCCCATAACTGGTACCCCTTCACATCTTTGCTATACCTACAAAGATGCAATTCTTTGACTTTGGATCCAATTTGTTCCTTTGGCAACTTGGAATGAGTGCATAGGCATCACAACCAAAAAATATTAAATCGGAGTACTCACTTGGAGTTCCATACCATACCTCATTAGGACTTTTACTTCCCAATGCTACCGAAGGTGATCGGTTGATAATATAAGAAGCCATTAATGCGGCTTCCACCCATAACTCTTTCTCCGACATTGCTTAACATGCACCTCAAACACTCCATCAAAGTGTGATTCATCCTCTCAGCCACACCATTTT